TGTGCTGGTTCTTCTAAAGAAGTAAATTTATCTGAAATTGACTTGATTTTTTCATCCTACTTCGTCTATCCTTCGAGATTTCCTTGTCATAGATTTGGCATTTAGTAACTATGAGGAACCATCTCTTAAGCTCAATTTGTAAACAAAGTAATTGGGGAGTTAATGATGCTTTTTAAAAAGGCTAAAAAGCAACAATAAATGCTTTTTTCTCTAATGCAAAACCTAATTGTTTTATGGTTGCTTTTATAATAATAGAACACGTTTATAAAGTATTTTACCATGACATTAATAAACAATTGCTAATGACGTTTATGCTTGAATTACAGAACAGCTTTAAAGAGGGATTGATAACTGTTTTAAATTTATTTTTAAAAGAAGGCAGTTATTGACTTTCTTGCCAGACTATGAAAGGTTTTTAAAACAACAAAAAGCTAAATTTCTAAGCAGGAATGTTTTACACTTTAAAATGCTATATTTAAACTAAATGGATTGTTCATTGCCGTTATAAAACCATCCTAAATCAGAGTGGATGCTAAATGGTTACTGAATTGTTACTTGGGAATGTTGTGAACAACTTCAATGACAGTTGTCCAGCAGTGCTCCCCTTTTATTTACAACAATTCGATGCCTACGAGATTGTGCCGAAGGTATGCCGATAGATGTGCCCAAACTGTCCCGAATCTAATTTCGGCACAATGTGCTGAGTGACTTACCCTGCGTGAAAGCAGTCAATTCATGAAATTAGTCATGGAGATCTGTGATTTCGTTCCACAAGGCACTTTTAGAAGTGTCATTAGAAAGAATTCAGTCTTGTGACTGGCAGATGGACCCTAGAGTATCGCAATAATCGCAGTCTAACAAGTGTGTAGAATGACCCCCTTTAGGCTAGCCATTAATTCTAAGTGACCACCAGATGGCTCGCCGGAAGATCTGGAACATACGTAAAGTTGATTGCTGTGCAAATTTGATCAAAGTTGGCCTTGATTTGCTCAAAGTTGGCCTGATACTACAGTCAAATTTCGCTCGTTGGGCGTCGTTGGGTTATGTTTAGGTGGGCTACGCTTTAAGCCTAGTATACAGATCGAAGCGAAACAAAATTTGAAGCACGCGAAAAATCATGAAATTTCGCTAGCGAAAAGGGTTGTGAAAAAATGTGGAACATTTTCCAGTTTCATTTTTCGCAGTTTACAGTTCATGTGAAACGAAATCGATCAGTTTACACCTCCGGTGAAGTGAAAATCTGACAGATACGCTCTCCCGAAACGTCAACTTTTCGCTTAGCTGCTGCTCTTTTCGCAAGCGCTGCATGCGCGAAAAAAAAAAATAAACGTAAGCGAAAAAGATGCGATCCACAAAATTGGATTTCGCTGGATCGTATCTGTTTACAGTTCAAAGCGAAGTGAAATATTTTCACTGGAAATCCTATGTATGAGTGCTCATTGCAAGACAGCCTATATTACGTGATATAGGCTGTAATGTGAACGGGGTATTAAATGTGTTTTTCACGCAGGTGAAAAATGTAGTATTTTGTATGAGATTTTCGCTTCGCTTCGATCTCTATACAGGCCTTTAGTTGGGCTGTAGCGTCAAACGTCATTTTTGACAGTGCTATTTCTTTTTTTCGAGGGGCTCATGTATGAAATACTTGGATAGTTACTAAAGGATTGTGATGATAATTAACAATCGGTGTATCCCTCTACCAATTTTCAGTTTGACAGCTCAGTCCAACTAACGAAAGTCTTTCACTAAGTGTGCAACAGGTTTAACCCAAAATAGAAGAAGTGACAATACGCGGGCGAAAATGAACCACTTTTCCAGGGTGGCCAGACCTACCGATTTATCGGTAGTCCTACCGATTTTCGGGATGCCTACCGAATCACAGACAAAAGGTTAAAAACTACCAATTTTTCACTTTTCCTACCGAGAATCACAGATTTTTAGTAATCTTGAAAAGTGTTCAATAACTATGTGTGCATTGGAATTAGAAATATTGATTTCGACACCTTTTTAGCAGAGAACTGAAGTACAGTCCCCCTCCCCATCGCTCACATAGCTTTCAAGTATCAGGAAAGCCTTTTTCAGACAGCCTACCGATAACTACCGATAAAAGTTTTGAGAAGCTACCGATAATGAAAAAAAATAATCTGGCCACCCTGCACTTTTCTGTCAAACGTGAACCAACTCCTGATTGGCCAATTTCATGTGTGTGCACGAAACGAAAATCAAATAATTTATCCATGTGTTTCACTTATACATTTTTGCAAAAACATCAGCCTTATACATTCCATAAGACAATCCACATAGATCCTATAAGAATGCATAAAATGTATGTGTGACCGCTTATACGTTTCATTTGACACATGATCTTCATTAACTTTTTGCAAGGCGTCTGCTTATTAGTTGACTTATACATTTTATGAATAATCAGCAATAGAAATTTTCCAAAAGGTATAAGGAGATTTCTATCCGTGTAAGATAGAGATAGAAATAAAAGAGGAAGAAGCCAATGGACACCTCTTCCTTGGTAGGCGTTGGCCAAATTTGGATTTTTCAGATAAAATCCTAAATAGGACCTAGATTATTTAATACTCTAGTAACCTCAAGTCCGTGCTCTGTCACAATGTTTCATTGTGATTAATCAATACTCAAAGGGGTAAAATATCAAATTTGGGGTGGATTTGAAAGAAAGGGAACTTGGAGTGTAGAGCGCACTGCCTACTGGACGATTCTGAAGCCTGGCCAAGTGAGTGGGGTATGGGTTTATTTGATTGAACGTCATTTCCAATGTATATATTGATACATTCAAACCATTGGCATTTGAGATAAGACAGAGATAGGATGCGGAGGGCCCGCTTAGGGGAAGCGTAACCCATGTTATGGTTTCCATTTATTAAATAGTTCAGATAGGCTGGAAATAACAGGTTCATAGTGAGAAAATGTACCATATGGGACCCGTTCACTGATCAAAAATCAGATTCAAATCGTCAGACCCTGCCCAAGAATATGGGGATTGACGATGTCTTGTCAAGTTTTATTTTAAATTTGCGTTTTACATTTAATACTCTAGTAAATCTCGCGTCTGTGCTCATTCACAACAGTGTTAGGTGTCAATACTCACTGGGTCATATGTCTTAGACCAATTCCAGATTAGTTTGCTATTAATATCTTCTGCATCGCAGTTCGCGATAGATTACTAAATATGGGTTCTATTTTCCGACCATAATAGTGTAAGGGAAGGGGGTGAGTTAAACGTTGCGATATGAGAGCGAATAGAGGCAAATAAATAGGGAAGACAACACCATGACCCAAATAAGTAACCAATGCATGCGGCTCACACTTAACTTGTTCTATTTCTTTCTTTCTTCCTATAATGTACTTATATTAACTGCCTGAGGACAAATGGGATTACGACCAGAAGTTCAATAGGAGAAAATTCGAACAAGAAAAGAAGAATTCAACTTGCACCGGCAAGAGGAAGCAGACAGAAAGGATCATGCCGGTTGGAGACAGCCAATGTATCCCGAGCAGGAACAAATATCTCGATACCTTAAATTGGTATGGATGAGCCTGACATAAGAGGTAAAATACCAAAAAGTAATACCAAACAAATGTTCTCACAATACCATTCCAATACCAAATTATGATAATGCAATACCAAAACAATACCACCCAGGTATTCTTTTGGTATCCAAATATCAATTTTTGGTATTCACAAAGTATTTTGCATGTTATTTTTTGGTATTATTCTTTGGTATTTTACCTCTTATGTCATGCTGGTCAATACCAAATTTTGGTATCAGATCAGAATGAGGTATTCATTAGTTATTTTCCCCTGTTCGGGATACTGGACGAAGCTTGTATCTAGGAAAAGTCGTATGTGCAGGAAACCGTAAGTAGGATAAGAATCGTAAAAGGTGTGTGCTTGCTTGATAAGATCCTAACTTTACTTTAAATACACGGTAGGAATCGAATATCCATTTATGATTGAGGTTTTGCCCATTTTTCAGTGGGAGTGGCAATACTCATTGATGAGTGATTTATCGTACCCATTTATTAGTAACTGTTAGCAGCTAATGATTAATTGATTTACCTATTTTAGAATTACCTATACTTCACATCAGAACCTCATTTCCTTCAATTACTACTCCGTCGCAGCACACACCTTATATGGATCGCTAACCTTTATTTAGTTTCAGCATTTTCGACATTATAATCAAAAGGTGAGTTTTAAAAGTATAATTACCATGCATATAGATAAGTTAATGTACCAGAACCTGGACGGACACGAGCCTACCCAGGGAAGGACCCGGATACGACCACCCATGTGTGTCTAGAGTATCGCACGAGCTGACGAGTGCAACGGGAAGGACAGTAGGTGTATAGACTAGGGGGTTGGTCCCTAGATAAGCCTTCTTAGCGGAAGGCACAGCCTATGCACTGAACAACAGGGTTACTTCCACTCACTTGCTATAAAAAAAATGTTTTTCGGAATAATGAAATCATGAGATGTTATAATGATAATTAGTATTTGTAAGCTTCAAGAAGAGGTCGTAAAGTACGTGTTTGACACATCAAATCTATCAATGATGCTTTGAGTGCGTCACAATAATTGATTTTACGAATCGTGAGCGCTCACTCTGAGTGAACGCTCACGAATCATAAAATTGCTGATTGTGACGCCGTGAAAGCGAACTTGACAGGTTTTATGAATCAAACACGTACTTTACACCCTCTTCTTGTTACTTACAAGTACTACATATCATTATATCATCTAATGATTGCATAATTCCGAAAAAATATTTTTTTTACCAAGTGAGTGGAAGCAACCCTGCTGAACAATTACAATTACAATTACTGGCTGTTATTTTTTCTAATCTCAGAATTTTTAAAATTCTGTTAAGTCCAGTGCCGCATTTACGAGCTTGCCCCACCTTCCCCTAAAGCTACTTTAACTTTTTTTTACGATCTACTAAGGACTATGTCATCCATAAACCACTGACTTTTCAAATATTGATTGCATTTTATTGTTCTCCTTAATACGGTAAATATAAATCGCCTACAAATGGCTTCAAATAAATTACACAAACTCGTTACAACACTTCCCTCCAACTGCTGTACCTCGTTGAATTTTCCCAAGCCTTCAATCAGCCGGAACTCAATGACTCAACGAAACTGTTGAAAAATTACCACTTCTCTCACCATTTTGGGTAATATTAGGCTGTCGTGATCCTCTAACAGATTAAAATATAACGTGTGTAAAAACGGAAAACGTATATAAAGCAAATAAAATCAACCGTTTTGTTTTGAAACAAAAGGTCGGTAGATGGGTTACTACTTATATGAAAGACTAATGCGCTAATACCAATCAGATATCGGTCGTTTTTTTTTGTTCTACAAGAATTACAGGTGTAATTGCAAGTTAAGGGGGAATTTCGTGATGCCATTATTTTTTTTCCACACCAAATTGCCTTCACCCATGCCGAGATGCTACGCCTTCGAGCCTACATTTTCAACGACAGCAAATTTTAGCTGTCTCGCAATTCCGCGCTACCAAACTTCCAAGCATGTAAAAAGGATTAACATTTATTATCACAAATCGACACCCCACGTACGAACCCTTCCCGCAGTTCCGTTTCGTATTTTTCCCTCTGTACCTACTTACGACGAATATGACTACGCATTAGGCCAGCACCAGCCAGGCCATGAAGATGAGCGCCACGTAGAGGAAAATCTGCGACAGAAACTGATCCTCGTCGTACTCCCGGGTGTTCTCGTGCGGAGGATTGCCCCGGAAGTCGCCAAAGTTGAGCGTCGATGTGAAGAATCCAAAGGGGAACGCCCCGATGCCAAACGACATGTGGAACCCGCCGTCACCGGTGAAGCCCTGGAATCCCTGCGGCTGTTCCGGCTCGGTACGTTGCCCGGCTGGCCGCGGTGGGACTGTTTTTCTGTTTTGACAATACGGAATGTTAATGAAAACGGTCAGACATTGACATTGGGTCGGTTAGCTTACCTGGGATCCTCCTTGCTTCCACCCCGGCCATACAGTGGAATGACTTTCTCCTTACTGATCGACGATTTGCACACCGGGCACGTATTCCGGTAGCCGTTCATCCACTGGTGTATGCACGGCCAGCAGAACAGATGACCGCACATGCTGACGACGGCGTCCTTGGCCGTGTCCAGGCAGATGTTGCACTCGAACACCGAGTCATCCTTCTTCTCCTCCCCGTCGTCTTCGAGATTGATTTTGGATTTGCCGCTACTACTGCTACTGCTATTGCTGGATTCTGATTCCTGTTCTGCGGAGCCCGCTTCCTTCGAAGCATCAGGGATGCTGCTGCTGCTGCTGCGAGCGCGGGAACTCGACGAGATTTCCGAGTACAAACTTCCGGCGCCGGTGCCATGCGAGGTCGATGCGGAGTTCAGATCTTCCAAACTGGGCGCCGATGCATGTGGAGTGCTTTCGACGGTCGATGCCATTGTTGCTGTGTTGATTATCTGTGTTAGGAAGAAGCGGTAGAAACAGTAAACGCTAATTAGTGAACTAAAATGCGGACATTACATAGACTGGGAAAACCCCAATTACACACGTTGATATACTAGTTTGTAGGAGAGTGACTTTTTTGTGCGTTTACTCACATCCACTCAGGTAGGTTAGCTGTACGCATGGAGATTTGAATCACTTGCAACCGCACACGTTGGCGGAATCGATACAATCAGTGACAACAGTGTTGCACTTGGAATACTAATGCCCTAATGCCATTCGGTTTATTTTTAACGTGGCTGCTTCCGTGAAGTAAATAGTTAAGTATTTGCTACGGTAAATAATGGTATTTATTTCCAAATATGTATACCGTAAAGTACCATAATTTCGCGCACATAAGTCCTAATAAAGCGGATTTTTTTTTAGGTTCATAATATGGTGTAATGTTGATATTTTGAATTGAGCTGAAAATGCAGATAACTATTAAAGTCTGGAAACCTGAAATGCTGCATTTGGAAGTTGAATGTATATACAATGGTTGCTATGATGAGTTTTCACCGTTTGCTCTCCAGTTTTCTAAATGACGTCCAAGCAAGAGGAGCAGCGTGTCAAAATTTTGCTCGCGCAGCAAGAGAATCCGACGTTCTCACACGCCAACCCGCATAAACGCGAACCATAAATTGACCTTACCTAAAATGGTTAAAAATTGTTTATAATCCCTGCTAAACTTTAACTGAAATGGTTATGGAACTTTACATGAACGTTTAATGATAAAGTTTCAACCTTATGTATAATGGTTTTTTGGAACTGGATCTTACAAATAATGGGTTGTTAAGAACCATTACCATTCCAAATTCTTGTTTTCTCCATACATTTTCAGAAAGAGAACTATATAAGAACGTTTTTACTTATGATTTGAGAACATTAATGGTAATGGTTATGGTAGTCAGTAAGGTCCATTAATGGTTTTGTATTATCGCTCAACTTTACGTGGAATATAACGTGAATTGGTAATCAGTAAATTACAGGCAACCAATTCGCGATATATTCCACATAAAGTTGATCGATGTTACAAAACCATTCGTGGACCTTACTGACTACCATAACCATTACCATTAAAGTTCTCAAACCATAAGTTAAAAGGTTCTAATATAGTTCTCTTTCCGAAAATGTATGGAGAAAACAAGCATTTGGAACGGTAATGGTTCTTAACAACCCATTATTTGTAAGGTCCAGTTCCAAAAAACCATAATACATAAGGTTGAAACTTTATCATTAAACGTTCATGTAAAGTTCCATAACCATTTCAGTTAAAGTTTAGCAGGGATTATAAACAATTTTTAACCATTTTAGGTAAGGTCAATTTATGGTTCGCGTTTATGCGGGAAGTTAGCAAAATTGCTTGATATGGCCAAATCGACCGTGAGAAACGTTTTAAAAGTGTTCGGGGAGCGTCTGTCGACCGCTAGGAAGCCTGTAAGCGGTGGCAATCGTAATCACAAAGGTCATGGACGACGAAACTTATGTGAAGGCGGATTTTAAGCAGCACCTGGAACAGGAGTTTTATACCGCATCAGGAAAAGGCTGACATTTTTAAAACTATCGATGTTCCCTAAAAAATATCTCGTCTGGCAGACCATATGCACGTGTGGTGTAAAAAGCGGCATTTTGATTACTACGGGAACCATCAATCAAGAGATCTACACCCAGGAGTGCCTAAAAGCGGCTGCTACCATTCCTAAAACAACATAACAGACCTGTGCTGTTCTGGCCGGACTTGGCGAGCTGCCACTATGGGAAAAAGGCAATCGAGTGGTACCGATGCGAACAACGTGGTTGTGGTACCCAAAGACCACAATCGTCCCAACAGCCCATAACTCCGCTCTATCGAACGGTATTGGGCCTTGGTCAAACGGAATCTAAAAAAAAAAACTAATAAATCCATGGAAAACGAGCAGCAGTTTAAATCTAACTGGCGTTCGGCGGCGAATAAGGTCGATGAGACCACTGTGCAAAATTTAATGGAGGGGTTAAGCGGAAGTCACGGCAGTTCGGATAAACGAACATTTTTTCCTTTAAATAGGGGAAATGGCTCTAATGTTGGCCAATGGATCTAAGATTGGGCCCATCGCTAAAAAGCTGCTATTTATCAATTTTATCTAGATGAACGCGTCATTGCGACGTTACTAATGGATATTTTTGGTTGCTATTGAAAATTTAGTCGATTGCTGAATTTATGCATGGGCTCAAATTAGGGACACTTAGGCCGACATTACATACATTTCCGCTATATGAATTGAACTACCAAAAGAAAAATAAGAAGATTTTTGTGATATGAATTTTGACTGAAAGAAACGATTTTTTTGTCGACCATTTTTTGCGCGTTCCAGTCTTTATTCACTAGTGTATTGAAAAAATATAAACATAGAAAAAATTACAATACATCAAAAAATGTTGGCAAACGAGCGAAATTATGGCACCTTACGGTACCTTCTGATTGCTTCACCAGTACTGCGAAGGACGATTGTTTACTGAAGTTTATGGGGTTTTTACACTTGAGGCTATTTCACTAGCGCTAATGAGCCAGCTGCTAGCAAAAAAGCTCACCAGCATAATGTAAACAGGGCATCAGCAGCGTGTACCAGCATGAGATTTCAGGAGCAACTGAAGTTCGTGCTAGTTGACTAGTACTCTAGCGCTAGCAAATCCACACAGATGTAAACATCACATTAGCCTTGAGCCAGCTTTAGGTACTATCGGCTATGCACTGCGACTCAAAACCGTTATCATCGGACGAGAACGTATTTAGGTGTAATTAGGTATGCATGGAATATGACTAATAGATCGCCGTCACATGTTGTACGTACTCCAATACTCTGGCATAATCTTATCGTATCGTACGACTTACTACCACTTGGATTGTTTAAGGTGATGCTTTGTAGAGTCCTCAAATAGCCGCCACGTAGGCTATACATGCACTTTCACTTCGAATTTTCAATTGCACCTCGGAAAGCGGTGCCCTATTTCACCTGAAATTGGTACTTCATGTAAGCTGCAGTGCAGCAAACGTGGAGTAACAATTTGAATGTTGCACGTGTCGTAGAAGCTCATATTTGTGCACTTAAAGTTTCGAAGTGGTTCCAAGAATAAGTATGCCACAGCAATTCACCTCAATGGGGGAAATTCTGTACACGCTATTTAAAAACTACCCAAATTTGTGTAGAATCCACCCAGATCGGTCAAAACTGAACTTACCCAAAAATGGGTACATTATATTGGGAGTGACAAGTTGACAAATGAACAAAGTCGATCGGATTCATGTCGATGTTGTCCATTTGTCAACTTGTCACTCCCAACATAGTTTATCGTTTGGGTAGGTTAAGTTTTGACCGATCTGGGTCGATTCTACCAAAATTTGGGTAGTTTTGAGATAGTGAGTAGGCCGGGCTGCCAAAAGTAGAATAAGTAGTAGTAGAAAAAAAAAGTAGTAAACAAAGAATCCAATGTCAATTTGTCGATACTCTTAGCACTCCCACGCAAACAAACAACAACATCCTGTTGGGAAAACAGTCTCTTTTATGAAAAAGTAATCGAGAATTTGTGGAGAGGTTGATGAAACAAAACACGCGGTTTCAACTTTTTAGCGTTTTTTATTCATGTCCGAATGTGTCGGTTATTGAATTACAAATACTCTGGTTTTCCTTCTAAACTCTACACCAAAGGGTAGGCCACTCCGCACACGAATCTTGGGTCATCTTTTCTGTCAGTGTGCCGATTGTGCCGGTCTTAGAACAAGCTGCGATTGTTTGTAAAATACTCATCCCAGCAACCCGGACACCTTGAATGTTTTGGTTTGAAATAGTAAGGATAAATCGGAGCGGGAATGACGCGGGAAGTGGCGGGTGTGCGAAATTTTGGTGTTTTGTGTTCATAGGATAATAAAAGTCCTGTGTTTTAGGGTTGTATGATGTACTCAAATGCAAACTAGAATCCTAGCCTTCCGTGATGTGAAAAGCAACGGTCTTTCAGCGGCCGGCCAGAGTCGGAGACAGTGGGAAACATTGTAGGAGACCGACTATAGTGGATGATGACTTCTGTAGTTTGTCTTGTGTGATTTGTCATCTAAATTGATCAATTGGGATTATTCGTAGGGGCGGGATGTGCAGTCAAATTGCCCTACTGAAAATCCTTCATTGAGATCTAAATGTGTAAAGCTCAATGAGTTTGTCATCTTTTCAAAAATCGCACGAACATACTTCAAAGTGCCAGGCTTGGTGCCAGGATCCCGATTTTTTTTTTCTTTAAAGCCTATTGATTTCTTTAAGTTTCAAAATTTTAAATATTTCTCCTTGATGAATTTTTTTTTTAAATCTCAGTTGCCGAAGTGTAAAAAAAAGCCCATCTCTCCCTCTGAATATTTCTAGGATTACTAACTCTCACCACAGACGTAGTAAATTTAACGAAAATAACGTCAACATCAGCACCGCTCCCTAAAATGACGTCGCTATTTGCGTTTCCGATATTTACGAATACAGCAACATCTGAAGGTTAGTGCTACCTCCCTACTGTGCTCATTGTTCCTTAGGGGCTGTTCTTAAACTACGTAGACAGGTTAGGGGGGTTGGGAATTATACACGGACAATACACATTTTAAATAAATGTATGGACAATTGTCTACGCGGAAGGAGGGGGGTCCAGAATCTCAAAAAACTGTCTATTTAGTTAATGAACAGCCCCTTACCGTAACGACAACATTTAATTGAATATTATATAGGAAATAATTTCTCGGGGTACCAACGTAAACAAGCGTATTAAAATAAAAATCAAAAGATCGATCTACCAAAGATCGATTCTTTGGTACCGATTTAATGAGTGGATCGATTCAAGAGCCAAATATAAGATCGATCCGTCAAGATCGATCTTTCTCTGAAAATCGCCCAATCCTACTTCATAAGAGCAACCGTACCAGTCGTTGGCATAAGAGCAACCGTACCATTTGGCTTAATCACTCCTC